CTCTTCCTCCAATGTTACAAACGTACACAAAATACCAAAAAAAGATCAAAATTGCTCAAATTGTCCAAATACCGATAATCGGGAACAAAAATTCTAAATTTCACGCACTATCGCAATACCATTGTCCGAATCCCACTTCTGAAAATTGTAGGTAATGATTCGGCAAATTTATTATTCCGAGTCGAAGTTTCAAACGCGTTTATTTGATAAAGGTTCGACGTGAACTGATACCAGCATCGGTTCGGCTTTTGTCAAAACGAATAAACATCGTAATGTATTAAAGAATCTTTTTATCGATCGCAAACCATAGCTGACACAATACAACGCATCCTACAAAAAGGATCCGCAGTCCCTTTACGATGTAAACAATAGACATTTCTTCTCTTCCATACTTTTTCGTACTAGCTATGCACCGAAAATGTTCGTTAACATTGTATTGCCATGTACAAATTGTGTACGTCCCACAGATGTTTACACATCGCATTCAACAGTGTCGCGGAAACGAAACGTTGGGGTTGAAATTGCATGGCCAGAAATTCGCGGAACGAGTTTCGCGGAAAGCAGGAAGCGATGGAGGAACGGATAACGCGCAGCGTCCGCGGAAAATATTCCGCGAGCGTCGCATCACGTTTTCATCGTTTCATTCAAGCGCTCGCGTCATCCTCCTCTAATTCACTGGGATCATTCGCTGGAATCCTGTTTGCCACTTTCGGGCAGCTGGTATCGCGAGGCTTCTGCCCCGCTGTCGTCATTGTCCGCGTTATCTAGCTAGATTCGCGACACAAACAATGCGAACCGCGAACGTGGAAACGGAAAGATACACGCGCGCGCACACACGAGCAACACGCGTCTTATAAACCGTTTTATCAGCGGTTAGACGATCGACGAAACGTTACGATAGATATAGGATTCCGTTCTGATTTATCGTCGCGCGATCGAATTCGGATCGTTTTTCGAATTCGTCGCGAATTTACGCGCGCGTCGAATGTTATACGACGCTCCGAAACGGTCGGTTCTGTACGGTCTCGCGTTGCGAAACGATTCTTCACCGCTAGAAAGCAAACGTTTATTGTAATTGATACCTATGCACATTGAAAGAGAAACGGCTGCTTATTGATTCCGTTACATACATATTTCGTTCCGCGGGATTCCGTTAATTTAATCGCGCGCAGCCACCGATCCATTAAATTCGCTATTGATCGCGAACCTGTCCCGAAGTTACGCGGAAACTTTCCTCTCGCAGACGATTAATTGTTCCGTGTTCGATTAACATTAAACCTACCGTGATCTCGTATTTTTTATTTGACGATTGTTGACGCTGCAAGGATTCTTCCGAAGGAAGCGATCGAATAGATTTTTCCAATTCTGCCGTATCTCGCAATAAAATTGGTGAACGGTGTAAATAAATTCTTCGTTTTCAGAAGACTTGTGTGTATAATATTACTCGCCGTTGTATAACAGTACCATAAGTTATACACATATAACGGTGCTATAAATTCTAGAAATATAACAGCACTATAAATACTATAAATTATAATAGTAGAATAAATACTATAAGCATCATACTACGACAAATACCAGTTTTCCACATGCAAGTTTCCAACGTCCTGCAATTTTTCGAAACTCCATGGAACAAATACAATCTATAGATTAGTAAAGCTCATTAGATTATAGTAATTCAGTCTTGTCATTCTTATGGAAAAATTCGCGTCAATCACTGTTAATTACTCGCCAAGTGTCGAATACCAATCCCAAAAATTCTCAGAACATCAAAGCCATTTAACAAACGATACCGAAATTAAATCGTTAAAGTTTACCATGGTAATCATTAACTGACATTCGACAAAATCTTAGAACTATTAGTTCAAAGTAGTAGTTCAACATAGTTAAAAGGTTAGTGTCACTCGACCTGTTAAAAACCTGTTGCGAGAGTACAGTTCTCTTCGAATCTGTCGAAGCTGTTACCGGTTCCATTCTAATTCCAGAATGCACGAAATACTCGCCGCTTTTCTTTTTTATATAATAAGGACAAACATTAAAATCGTGTCGGTATAATCATAGGTTTTTTCTAGGAACTTCGGTTCGGAAAAAAAGGCTCGAACCTCGGGATCTGATAGTACATGCTGGCTTGTAACGGCGGCGATTGATCGGGAGCAGGATCGTGAGACTTCGTGGATGGTAACGGATGGGTTTGCGCAGTTCGCGACTGCATTCCGTGAAACGGGCACGTGCGCTAGCTGGCGTTTTCGAGTAAACGCGTTCACTGAAGTACTGTTACCCGAGCTGACCGATAGAGAGGATCGCGAAACACCGCCGATACGCAATCTTCCCCACCCACGTTTCCCCGACATTTTCCATTCAGTTTCCCGGTCGGCGCGCCGCCCACCCCGTTCAACCGTGCACGACGGCTACAAATTCCGGAATTCGAACTGGAGTTCCTGCTGCTCTACCTGATTCTCCGGTGGCAGGAAAAAAGATCCACGTGAAGCTTTCGGAAATGGTACAGCTACTCGCATTAATATTCGGGCACCTTTTAAAACAGAATAACTTCCTTCGGATTGAACGAAACGACTTGAATTTTTTTTCTGGAGATGTTAGACGGTCTCCAGTTTGTGCTGTACTATGATTAAAATACCATTTTTTCTTTTTAAATTTTGCTACTACTTGGAAGGGCAGGATAATAAAAAAAATCACTTGCCCTTTTAGATTTTCTTTCATTTCAAGCAATTGTAATTTTTTATTTTAAATTTCATGGATATTGTCTAGCAAATTAGTCTCTCTAACATCTCGAAAAAAAGTACAAGTCATTACGTCCACTTTGAAGAAAGTTGTTCTGTAGATGAAGCGTAGATTAGATTGGAGAATACGGTGCGATGGGGTGAGATACTCACGAAGTACGTATTACCATTTCATAGAAAAAAGTTTGAAGTACAATAGAATCTCGATTATCCTAATTCTTTGTTGCCTAAACAGATCGTATATGTATGTACATATACAACAAATGTATGTACATAGATCTGTGAAGATGTAGGATACAATACTATTTATTGTATGATTGTAGAGAGTAAAGATTTAATCTAGCTCTTTATCTCTTTAGCTGGATGTGACGAGTATACTCGTCACGGATAAGTGGCGATTCTTTGGATGCACTTGTTTCACTAGTTTAATTCAAATTTTTATGAAATTTCTTCAGAACCTTTCTTATTTTCCTGAAAATCACTATTCGCATTTCAGAATAATTTTAGAGCAATATTTGAATAATTTCAGAACAATTTTAGAACAATTACAGAACCATTTCAGAACAATTTTAGAATAATTTTAGAAAAATTTCAAGACAATTTTTTTGAACAATTTTAGGACTATTTTAGGACAGTTTTAGAACATTAGAGCAACTTCCCAACAGAAATCGCACATAGTGTCGTCGATAAATCACGCGAAAAGGTCTTCAAAATTGATTTAATGTGCAACTGTTTCATTATCCGAACAATCGCGTGTCTCTAACTGGTCCGGATAATCGAGTTTCTACGGTGCCAAAAGAAGTGTCGAAAGACGTATCAATAGATACGAAAAGAGCGATATCCGTTTTCTGAAACGAACTGTGCCGATTGCGAAAAAATGGCCACTCGTCTTTTCATCGACGCGACGCCGAGAGAAAGAAGATACGCAGATGCGGCTTTCGTGACGACCGCATCATCGTTATTTCCGAATGCCAGGCGCTCACACGTGATCTTACGTAAACAACAAACAACCAGTGTAACGCGCGGTCAGTTTTTCGTCGAAGGAAAATCAGAAGAACTTTTCCGTGCTGGCCATGTGTCCGGTGTTTTCAAACAACGCTTTCCAAGTACTTACGCACGTTGCGGTGTGGAAACATAGCCGCGATAGTTCCTTCCCGATTTTCCGACAAGATATCTGCACACGTATATTTACGGAATGAAGCAACTATGACGCGAATAATGCGGTCGAATGTTGAAACTTTCTATCATTCGGCATCATCCTATGACACATGCGACGGAAAGAGGTTCTGTTCTACTGGCAATTGCGTGCGACAAAATTTCGAGCTTGCACAACTGTACACGATCTTGTGCGGCGAGAAAAATCGTAGACTGCGGATCTTTATGCAGAATACAAATTTCACAAGACGATCATACGAAACAGAAATTAAATAGAAATAAACTGCTTCGTCTAATCATTTGGTTAAGTTGCAAATAGTGTAACAGTATTGTTTTATCGCTTCTAATCGTTTTTATGTCTTCATGAATATTATATTTCAACCATTCAATTTTAACATAAACGCATAAAATCCGCAGTCTACTTATTAGATCATTTCTGTCCTTTTTATTAGGTAGGATGTCCTGTATCTTGATTTTCAGCAGCTTGGACCTGGTAGCTTTAGGTCTGATTCAGCTACGCAATCTGTACGAACTATTTCTATCTGCTAATGGATTCATACAGTTGCATTCTTACTGCAGTTTGAATCTGTTTGATCAGTGACCACGCTGGAATTCGATGCACCTTCGCTGTCGTCGTAACTACATTAAAATCCGACACGAATTTGTAACGCGTGTTCGCAACCATATTAACACCTTATTTACCGTGAGCCTATATTAAGCTTTGCAATAACCGCACCGTGCCTAAGAAAAGTTCGATAATTCTGCTTCAAAGAATAATTTCAAAGGAACTTGTTACATCACGTTAATCTAAATAATTCGATGCATTTATGAATCAGATCGTTAATAATTTCCGAGTAATGTATGAAATTCTTCACTTTTGAGGGAAAAATCACTCGATAAAAATGAGAAAACTGTCGATAGATAAAGTGTTAACCAGCCGTTACAGTACGCAAACGATCAGTTCACCGAGGAACCAAAAGCATCAAGTCTATCAGCTTGCCAGAATTGCCATTATCGAAGATCCTGGCGCAAGTTTCTCAGCGGGTAAGCGAATCACGGAACGCCGAAAGGTGTGAAAAATCTGCGAAGTGTCGAAGGTTCACTCACCGAGAAGAAGAGCAGGCTCCCTGTTGTCATCCAGCAGGGCAACCAGGACGAGGAACAGCGGGTGCTGGACAGGCAGGCGATCCACATCGTCGGTGCAATCATCGTACAGCACCACCTCTCTGTAGTGACGTTTCCTGAGAAGCTCCTTGCCCTCCCTGGTGGTAGCCAGGTCAGCGAGGGTAGCTTTTCCCAGCTGAAGCCTGCGCCGGTTGAACCGGTCGGAGCAGTTTACGTTGATGGCGCCTCTGACGTGGTTCACATTATAGAGGATGAAAGGTCGACAGTCGAGGAGGACGGTAGGGTTGTCGGGCTGACGGTGCCCGAGAAGCCGCTGCGCCAGGTCGTCGGCCGAGATGGTCCTGGTCCTCTGGAGCACCAGCTGCCTCTGCAGCGTGTTATTCTCGTTGCAGGGGCTGGCGGGCAGGCTGACCGTCTCCAGTTTGCAGCGTTTCGAGGCGGACAATTGATGCTGATGGAAATGATGATGGTGCAGATGGTAGTGCCGGTGCACGTCGACCAAGGGAAGGTCGCAGTCGGTGCCGCTGCTAGAGCTGCTGCAGCCGCTGATGCTGCTGCCGCTGGCGTTCAGGCTGCAGTTCGCGCTGTCGCTACCGTCGACGATGTCCACGCCGCTAGACGTCGACGAGCTCGGCGAGACCGTCGACGTAGGCGACGACAGAAAGCTGGACGCCCCGGCCGGTGGGCCGGGCTCGCTCAGACTACGGTTCAACACCAACTTCAGGTTGTCCCGAGACCGGCCCGCGGACACCGGCTCGCAACAGATCAGGGTCGACATCGTCGGAGAACCCTCCCGATGGTCCTGATGGCGACGCGCAGGCTTCAGCTCGGGCAAGGTCACGTTCAGGCGCGATCCTGACGCTGGAAGGAAGAAGAGACCGTGAGGGAGGCTGATGGCCGACGCTGCTGGGACTTAGGGCTCGCTAGGGATGAGTCTGGCGAGGTAACGCCTTAAGAAGGTAGGCATCTTATCTTAGGGTTGAAAGGATTATGGAGATGCTTTCGGAGCTGTGTTCTAATGGAACGCGGAACTGTAACTTAATTTGAGTTTCGTACGATCGGATCGTCGTTGTCATACTACGGATTTTATAAGTTTATGTTAATTTTTGTGTTTATGAATGCTCTTTCTTGTCAATATTTGAGCATTGCGGTAAACATAGGTGTACAACTTATGCATAACACGGATGCGCTTTTTCGTTTAACAAATGATTAGAGACAGAGTCGATTTATTTATTTTAAATTGTCATATGAGTATGTACGATGAATGTTAACAAGAAATATTTACTGATGCAACTATCATAAAAATTCTAATGAAGATTATTCGATTGGATTCTGCACATGTACAGAGCTTTCATATTCAAATCAGAATTTAGTCAAAAATATATGAATTAGTTACATATTATATATTATAATATATGTATATTTATACACAATATACAATATATTAATTGTATTAATATATTAATTAATTGTGTTAGTAAAAATGGATTAATCAATTAATTGTATTAATAAAATGAATGTATTGTACATTGTACATGGTTTATTGTATGTCAATACATATTATAATATATGTATAATATCAAACTAGTACGTATATCGTTAACCAAGTGATTCTGGTTTTCCTCAAGTACTTTGTACAAGGAAAAGACTAATTTGGCCAACAATGACACTCGTTATCTTAATCTTAAAGCAAAGATACGTCATTAATATTCTTCGTATAACTGTTTCCTAATACTACAATATGGAAGGCCCATAAATGCATAAACGTGTCGCGATTTCGTTGCTACATTATCAGAATGCCGTCAGACGTACGTCCGAGCGACAATAATTCCAATCGACGAGAAGGAGACTGCACTCGTGGTCGTGTGCATCGGTCCTTATCGTGTGGCGCCCTGGGTCAACGATAGCCCGAGGACAAGAAGACGATCGTCGATATCGTGCAGCGACCTTTAATCCATCGATAGTTCGCGCCTTTCGCGTCGAGTGTTCGCCCCGCGGAGCGCCTAATCAGTGAGTCAGTTAATGGTCTCACGGCTTATGGAATCTCGGGCTTCCTCATTGCTTGGCTTCCATGAACTACGATAAAACTGTGCGCGCACGTGCTGCCTCGGCCATCTGTCTCTGGTCGTTAACTCCCGCCGGTTTATGAACGAAACGCGAACAAATAACCGAAACCTGCTAACAGCGATATCGAGAATTGTTCGATACCTTCGGTTCTCGCTTGGGAACGCGATTCTCTGGAAGCCCGACTAGGGTTTCTCGCGAAAATGGCTATGTTGAGATCTAATGGTTCCCTATTTTCTTAGATCGCGGGCTTTCGCACTGGGATCTTTGTATAGACTCTGCGAAAATTTATTGGAATTTTATTAACTATCAAGCCCTAAAAATCTGCGATTTTTTTCATCTTTAATTTGTTATAATTCATAACAACGTCGACGGATTTCGATAAAATTTTCTGCATACGTATAAGTTACCGAGATCTACGAGAGGTATTTTTTTAAATTTCCGTTATAGGTTCAGATAAAAAAGTTAAAAAACAAGAGTTTTTGTATCTCGTTTTTTTGTCATTCCAAGGAATAGCAAAATTTAAGAAAAGCATTTCGGTCATCGTCTATTAGGCTAGTCCTGCTATTATCTAAAAAAAATTCAAGTCGCTTAGTCCAGTCTTAAAAAAGTTATTGCGTTGTAAACGGTGTTCGAACACTTCTGCGGGCCACTGTACTTCTACAAAGAAGTGTGTGTGTGTGTGTGCGTGTGTGTGTGTACCTATAAATTTCTCCCAGAAATATTTTTATAATATGAGGAACTGTAAAAGAAAACTATCAAAAACCAGTCATTTCGACTGATTTGGTACTTCTAGTGTCAAGCACACAGATTTAAATGAGATTTAAATTAGAGTAAAAGAATCGTGTTCGCATTAAATTGTACGCATTAACGACGTTTCAACACCTACCCAAACGAAATTTTTCACTTTCTTATCCGATCCTGCTATCGATAGTCCGAGCACAAAGTCCATGAAATCGAAGTTTCGTCGAATTCAATTCGAATTTATTATTCCTCGCTTAGCAAAGTTGTTTATCGGCGCAGAAAGTTTCGATGACTGCCAACCACTGGCCCTTCAGATTCGCGACATTGCTATCATTTTTATCCGAGTGTTTAGAACGACGAATCATTCTACAAGTCGCGTTCCGATATACTTATCTGCTTAGACAGCAGACCTATAATTAGTCCGTCTCGTTCTTATTTTGTACCGAGCAATTTACTTTCGCGTCGAAATATTTCGTTCGGTTTATTATTGGACAGCGGATTCGGTGTATTGTTCACCAGGTAAACTGCCAAACTGTACACGCCTTAAAATAATTTGACAACGTAGTTGCGTTTTCTTCGATTCATCAGAATCATCGACAGGAGGGAAATGTATTTTCGTTTGATCTTCGTCTCTCGCGATCAGTTTAGGAAGTTTCTTTCGCGTGCAGATCTACAGTCTATTATTAACATTACATTGTTGCCTTTGTGGCACCAGAGACAATAACACCAGCGATAAGATTAGAAATAATACCGAGAAGCCGCGGGACTCCGAGATGCTCCAGGGGAGGAGGAGCTTGCGAGAGCTTTCATCGAGTGCAGCTCCGATCGCGGAACTGTTTTGCAGGAATCGCTTTGCCGTGACGCTAAGGTAAATACTAAACTCGATACACAGCGACGGGTTACCGTTCTGTTCCGTGCTTTTAAATAGCAATACGGTCGACGATGAGTCAACCCACCGAAATACGCTCTCCGCGTGTTCGCGGTCGCGTTTCGCGGCGGATCAAGCCGACACCGAAATATTCCACCGTTTGCACAGGTGCTGACCGAGTCATTATCCCAGAACCAGCCACGGAATCGCGCACGCTCTGACGAATCGCCAAACCATCCGCTAGACACGCTCCGAGAGAGAGAGAGAGAGAGAGAGAGAGAGAGAGAGAGTTTGAATTTATAGAAACCCACCGGGAGTACGTGTAATCAAAAACCTCAAGAACAGAAACTGACCTCGGTTCTCCACGCTGTATTTTAAGCTACGGACAACTTCGAAAAAAATCAGTATAGAGGTACGAAAGTGGAGACTTCGCTCTTTAAAATGAGTCTAGGTGGACTGTTGTAAGATTTTTTTTAACCAAGATACAGCAGGTCAAAGGTCAACAATGCTGCAGTCTCAGTTTAGCGATGATTTAGCGGACACAAAAAGGATTCATGAATAAGTGAGATGAAAAATGTTAGTTAAAACAAAATATGCAACGAGAAACCTAAATGCCTGTTCTATCGAATTTTTAATTTCCAAAGAACTAGTATCCAGCAGCAATGATCATTGTCTTTTTAACAAGATCTGCAGGAAATCAGCTAGAATCTTATGCTCGATGAATATTTTTAAACAAGAAAAAAATATAAANTTAAATGAGATTTAAATTAGAGTAAAAGAATCGTGTTCGCATTAAATTGTACGCATTAACGACGTTTCAACACCTACCCAAACGAAATTTTTCACTTTCTTATCCGATCCTGCTATCGATAGTCCGAGCACAAAGTCCATGAAATCGAAGTTTCGTCGAATTCAATTCGAATTTATTATTCCTCGCTTAGCAAAGTTGTTTATCGGCGCAGAAAGTTTCGATGACTGCCAACCACTGGCCCTTCAGATTCGCGACATTGCTATCATTTTTATCCGAGTGTTTAGAACGACGAATCATTCTACAAGTCGCGTTCCGATATACTTATCTGCTTAGACAGCAGACCTATAATTAGTCCGTCTCGTTCTTATTTTGTACCGAGCAATTTACTTTCGCGTCGAAATATTTCGTTCGGTTTATTATTGGACAGCGGATTCGGTGTATTGTTCACCAGGTAAACTGCCAAACTGTACACGCCTTAAAATAATTTGACAACGTAGTTGCGTTTTCTTCGATTCATCAGAATCATCGACAGGAGGGAAATGTATTTTCGTTTGATCTTCGTCTCTCGCGATCAGTTTAGGAAGTTTCTTTCGCGTGCAGATCTACAGTCTATTATTAACATTACATTGTTGCCTTTGTGGCACCAGAGACAATAACACCAGCGATAAGATTAGAAATAATACCGAGAAGCCGCGGGACTCCGAGATGCTCCAGGGGAGGAGGAGCTTGCGAGAGCTTTCATCGAGTGCAGCTCCGATCGCGGAACTGTTTTGCAGGAATCGCTTTGCCGTGACGCTAAGGTAAATACTAAACTCGATACACAGCGACGGGTTACCGTTCTGTTCCGTGCTTTTAAATAGCAATACGGTCGACGATGAGTCAACCCACCGAAATACGCTCTCCGCGTGTTCGCGGTCGCGTTTCGCGGCGGATCAAGCCGACACCGAAATATTCCACCGTTTGCACAGGTGCTGACCGAGTCATTATCCCAGAACCAGCCACGGAATCGCGCACGCTCTGACGAATCGCCAAACCATCCGCTAGACACGCTCCGAGAGAGAGAGAGAGAGAGAGAGAGAGAGAGAGAGAGAGAGAGAGAGTTTGAATTTATAGAAACCCACCGGGAGTACGTGTAATCAAAAACCTCAAGAACAGAAACTGACCTCGGTTCTCCACGCTGTATTTTAAGCTACGGACAACTTCGAAAAAAATCAGTATAGAGGTACGAAAGTGGAGACTTCGCTCTTTAAAATGAGTCTAGGTGGACTGTTGTAAGATTTTTTTTAACCAAGATACAGCAGGTCAAAGGTCAACAATGCTGCAGTCTCAGTTTAGCGATGATTTAGCGGACACAAAAAGGATTCATGAATAAGTGAGATGAAAAATGTTAGTTAAAACAAAATATGCAACGAGAAACCTAAATGCCTGTTCTAT